TTGGAAATGGCAGGTGAGGTTATATTTAATCCCTTGAGGTTCTAGTGGGGTGTAGAACAGCTTGGGTTATCGATATTGAGTGAAATTTCTAGCCCAGCTTGATATACTGGGAGCAGAGAAGAACTGTTTGAGATCTGCATTGCCAACTGGCCAGGAAAGAAAAGCAGGCTAGTCTTGTGCCTTTTGATTTACAGTTCCATATCCCAGTGTAACTAGAGGTTGTTTATAATTGGTTAATTGTTATGAAATAATTTAGCTTTAAAAATATTATGTCTAGCCTGGAGAGGAGACGACTGAGTGGTGATATGATGACCATTTTCAAGTACTTGAAGGGCTGTCATATAGAGGATGGTGTGGAGTTGTTTTCTGTTGCCCCAGAAGGTTGGACCAGAACCAACGGGTTGAAATTAAATCAAAAAGAGTTTTTGGCTAAACATTAGGAAGAACTTCCTGATGGAGCAGTTCCTCAGTGGAACAGGCTTCCTCGGGAGGTGGTGGGCTCTCCATCTTTGGAGGTTTTCAAGCAGAGGCCAGATGGCCATCTGACAGCAATGCTGATTCTGTGAACTTAGGCAGATCATGAGAGGGAGGGCGGGAAGGGTTGCCGCAGGGCTTAGTTCTCGTGGCCCTTTCTTACACGCCCAGGGAAATGCTGATCGCCACTTTGGGGTCAGGAAGCAATTTTTCTCCAGGCCAGTTTGTCCAGGGATCCTGGAGGATTTTTGTTGTCTTCTTGGCATGGAGCAGGGGTCACTGGGGTTGTGGGGGGGGGAGGTATTTGTGAATTTCCTGCATAGTGCAAGGAGTTGGACTAGATGACCCTAAAGGTCCCTTCCAACGCTATGATTCTATGTGTGTTCATAGAAGGAGCTCTCTCAGTCCCACCTACCTCACAGGCAATATTCCCTCTAAGATGTGGAGTCCTGCGAGCAAAAATTCTACTTTGTGAGCTACTAGCCTTACAGTTGTGAGCAAGCCATTTGGCTGCGGCATAAATTAGTTTGCTCTGGAGCCCTCCTTCCTGAGCTAAGACGAAAATGTGTGAGCCGGAGGCTAAGAAACTGTGAGCTAGCTCACACTAACTCAGCGTAAAGGGAACACTGCTCACAGGGTGTCTGTTGTGGGGAGGGGAGGGGAAAGGAGATTGTAAGCCGCTCTGAGACGCCTTCAGGCAGTGAAGGGCAGGGTATAAATCCAATCCTCTTCTTTTCTCTTATACTATGATTAAGCAGTGCTAGGAACTTCGATAATTTTATCAGATTTGAGAGTTGATAATCGTCCTTTAATAGAGGAATCCTGGAGAACTCGGCTGCTAAACAGTTTGCACAGTTTGCATAGCTTTGAATAGGCACTGCCTTTTGAAACTGTTTAGTCTGGATTCTCTGACTGGATGTGGGAGTAAATATATAGTGCTGTGTGACAGGGCCATGGCTCAGTGGCAGAGCCTTTGCCTAGCGTGCAGAAGGTCCCAGGTTCAATCCCCAGCATCTCCGGTTAAAGGATCTGGCAGTAGGTGATGGGAAAGACTTCTGCCTGGGACCGCTGCCAGTCTGAATAGGCAACACTGACTTTGATGGACCAAAGGTCTCATTCAGTATAAGGCAGTTTCGTGTGTTCATCTGGCATGTAGGTTGTGCCGTCACTGCCACAGACATTGGTGATGAGTCAGCATCGTCAGTAGTTTATTACAATCCGAGGTCAGAAGTCAGATTCATCAGGCGATACAGATATTACTAGATGTCAGAATATACTTAATATCAAAACTTATTTGCCAAGACAAAATTTGTTCTGGTCATGCTGGGTGTGAGGTGATGAGTGAGAACCCAGTCCTTGAGCTATTCCTACAAACGAAAAGGATTTTGAGGAGCGGGAACAGAAGTGGCGTTGATCTGTCACCCTTCCTGAGCAGGGTTTTCCTTTCTGTTCCAGGAACCCTTGCAGGGGCTGATCAGGGGCTCTCCGGCGGAGGAAGGGGCTCCCTCAGACTTTGATCAGAGACCGGCCGTCAAAGAAACCAAACAGAACAGCAACAGAGATGCTGGTTTGCTGGGTAAGGCCTCCGAGAATCGTTGAGACTTATTTACTCCTCAGAGTAAGCTGCGGGGATCACGTCCCAACATGTTCTTGAGTAAACATATATTTTGTTTCCCATTTATGGGGCCATTTAGGCTCCTCACGAGGAAAGGAAGAGGGTGAAATCCTAGTATATTTTAAAATGTAGACTGAAGGACAGGGAACTCCGCTTGGTGCAGTTTTTCCTCATTCCTGTGTGAGAACACCCACCTTGCGAAATTCCTTTTTCTGTTTGTGTTACCGGAAAGTACAAAAACTACACTCTGTTGCTCCTGATTACCTTAGGTAAGATGGAACTGATGGTTTTCTCTCCCGGGCCTTTTCTAAATTCTCTCTCTTGTCTCTTTTTAGGCAGTGGAATGAGGTGCCCCAATGATTCCGAGATCTCCCTTCCTTCCAAAGAACAGGAAACTACCAGAGCTGGGCCGACGGAGGTATGTGAACTTGCGGTGGGTGAATCCAGGCTTAGACCTAAGATATAAACATCCAGACATTATGTGTATTTATGTTTTCTTGTGGAATTATTTAATATATACTTTATTTTAAATGTTTTAATATCAAAACATTTTGATTCTACCACCTGGGGAACCCTGTTTGGGTGGAAAGGTGGCATAGAAATGTTTTAAATAAACAAAGAGAAAATACACTCCAAAAGTCCTGTGCTGGATCAGACCAGTGGTCCATCCAGTCCAGCATCCTTTTCTCCCACAGTGGCCAGATAGATACTCTGGAAGACCTACAAGCATGGATATGTTGGTCGAAGCTTCTCCCTTCTGTTGCCTCTCAGTGACTGGTATTCAGAGGTATATCGTGTCCAAGCAGGGAGGTTCTCTTTAGCCGTCATTTCCAGTAGCCTCAATGGACCTTATCCTTCAGTTTGGTGTAGTGGCTAAGTGTGCAGATTCTACTCTGAGAGAACCAGGTTTGATTCCCAACTCCTCCACTTGCAGCTGCTGGATGACCTTGGGCAAGCCATAGTTCTGTCAGAGCTGTTCTCTCAAGGACAGTTCTGGAAAGAGCTCTCTCAGCCCCACCTACCTCACAGGGTGTCTGTTGTGGGGAGGGGAAGGAGTTTGTAAGCCCCTCTGAGACTCTGAGTGAAGGGCGGGGTATAAATCCAAACTACTACTCCTCCTCCTCCTCTTCTTGAATTTGTCAAATCCATTTTTAAGCTAGTGGCTGTTGAGTGGTTGTTGTAGTGAATCCCACAAGTAAGCGATACGTTCTGTGATTGTTTTTCTCTTTTCCATCCAAAATGTACACAAGAACATGAGGAGAGCCCTGTTGGATCAGACCAGTAGTCCCTCTAGTCCAACATCCTGTCTCACACAGTGGCCAGCCAATTCCTCTGGATGGCCAACAACAGGGTATAGAGGCCGAGGCCTTCCCCTGAGGTTGCCTCCTGGCCCTGGGACTCAGAGGATCAGTGCCTCTGAATGTGGAGGTTCCCCGTGGCTAGTAGCCATTGATAGACCTCTCCTCCGGGAATCTATCTAATCTCCTTTGAAAGCTGTTTATTCCTGTGGCCATCACTACATCCCCTGGTAGTGAATTCCACATTTCAATCACTCTCTGTAGGATTTCCTTTTGTCCGTCCTGAATCTACTGCCCATCAGTTTCATTGGATGCCCTCGAGTTGTAGTATTTTAGGGCAGGGAGAAAAAATTCTCTTTGTCAACTGCGATCCAACTTTATTCCATGACCCTAAGTTTGGTGTAGTGGTTAAGTCCGCGGACTCTAATCTGGGAGAACCGGGTTTGATTCCCCACTCCTCCACTTGCAGCTGCTGATGTGACCTTGGGTCAGTCACGAGCTCTGGCACAGCTGTCCTTGGAAAAGAGCCGTTTGTGTCAGAGTTCTCTCAGCCCCACCCACCTCACGGGGTGTCTGTTGTGGGGAGGGGAAGGGAAAGGAGATTGTAAGCCGCTCTGAGACTGAAGGGCGAGGTATAAATCCTATCTCCTCCTCCTCCTCCTCCTCCTCCTCCTCCTCCAGTGGCCAGAAATACCAGTGCCATCAGGAGGTCCACCAGTGGGGCCAGGACATTAGAAGCCCTCCCACTGTTGACCCCCCCCCCAAGCACCAAGAAGACAGAGCATCACTTGCCCCAGAGCCCCTATCTATACCTTGTGGCTCTGAGACTCCTTCAAGTAGTGAAGGGCGAGTTATAACTCCTATCTCCTCCTCCTCTCCTCCTCCTCCTCCTCTTCTTCTTCTTCTTCTTCTTCTTCTTCTTCTTCTTCTTCTTCTTCTTCTTCTTCTTCTTCTTCTTCTTCTTCTTCTTCTTCGTATTCTAAGAGCAGGACAAAGATTCCCTCCACATGATGAGTCCTTAAGTCATCTTTTCTCTAAAGTGCCCAACACTTCACCTTTTAGTTTTGGGGAAGGTGTTTAACCACCTTGATCAGCTCTGTATGCCTTTTTTTGCCCCTGGGTTATCAGAAACATCTGAAAATGGGGCGTTCTTCCGAGTCCCCTTCTATACAAGGGACTTGGAGTCAAGGGTGGAAATGTTCTTCCCTTTCAGGCACCGGTGACCCTCAAGGAGACGAGCATGTCTGTGCACGTGGTTGAGCCGGCTCTGGCAAAGCCCAGCCAGAGGACAATGTTTTGGCAAGTCATGCAGGAAGACGAGGGGAATGCAGATTCTCTGGGTAAGGAACACTCCTCTCTCGGATCCAGTAGATGCCAGCATTCTGAGAACTCCTGTATACCTGTGGTGGCGTGGCTGTTACGTCACTCTGATTGTGTGGGACCTTAGGCCAGGGATCCCCAACCTTTTTTGAGGCCGTGGGCACCTTTGGAATCCTGACACAGCGTGGTGAGCACAGCCGTAACATGGCCGCCACAAAATGGCTGCTGCACAGCCAATCACATCTCTAATGGCCAATCAGAAGCCTAGCTGGGCAAACGCCCCTTTTGGCTCCACCCACTTTCTAAAGACATTTGGTGGGCACCAGGAGAGATGTTGGCAGGCACCATGTTGGTGACCCCCCCGCCTTAAGCCATCTGCTCCAAAACTGTAAAGCATGAAACGACTATTATGATCACTTGATCAGCATAACGCTCTGTTTCTCCTTCCCTCTTTTCAAGAGGGACTTTTGGTTCCTAAATCTGACCTTGCCTCCCACCTGGAAAAAGACGGCGAGATGTTCGTTCAGTTCCCAGAGGAAAGCGAGAGGCTCCCGGGCCGAGATCCAGGTAAGGGGCTTGAGCTGGCGATTCTTGCAGCCTGGGCGGAAAGACATCCATCACACAGGCTCTTATTTTCCCACTGCTAGCAGAGGAGGAATGAGTTGTGCAGAATGAACAGACCTGCTTGTGTCTTATTCTTTGATTCCCCTTCAACTTCAGGAAAAAATGGCAGAAGGTGAAATTAGGATACTTGAGGGACGGGTTTCTTGTCCTCAGGCAAAAATAAGCTTGAATGTGAATGGATGGTGCTTGAAAAGATCTCAGACCCTATGAAGGTTAGGAGAAAGATGACTTGGGGGGGGCAGAGGTGGGTAGAGAGAGAGTGATGAAATTATGCATGGTGTAGAGCAGGGGTGGGCCAAACTGTGGCTCAGGAGCCACATATGGCTCTTTTTGTAGCAGGAACTCCTTTGCATATTAGGCCACACACCCCTAATGTAGCCAATCCTCCAAGAGCTTACAGAGCTCTTCTTACAGGAGCTACTGTAAGCTCTTGGAGGATTGGCTACATTAGGGTGTGTGTCGCCTAATATGCAAAGGAGCTCCTGCTACAAAAAGAACCCTTTCACACATATTGT